AAACAATATTAGGAAAAACCTTTATTTTCATACATTTATTTTGTCAATGAGATTTAATTATGAGAAAGTCTTAGAATTTAGATGTAGAAAAACTAATTGATTCATGAATCAATTATGGCATGATGTTTTGGGAAAATTTGTTTTGTAAGAGGGGTGTGTGCATGCTAGTGTTGGTTGATAGGTGGTGGTGGCAGTTTGGGAAGATGTTGAAGATATATGCATTTCAGAAAAATAAGACAGCCCTGGGTTCAGAAAGACATTTCCCATTTAACATATTAACATCGTTACAGTATACAGACAAGCAAACAATATAAACATGCTAAAAGAGGGAATGAAAATTGAAGCAACTCACGTAAAGAAAAAACAACTTCATCACTACCTTCCCGCAGAGATTCTTCAAAAGAAGAAAAAGGTGAGTTTGTAATTTTAACTCTCTAGTATGGTTCCACTCAGACAAAAGATGTGAGACCAAATTTGCATTCTTACAGCTTCCAAACTTACTAAGGAAATTGTGAAATGGTATAGACAGTTCAGTCTAGGACTAAAATCTCATTTTCATTAACCACAAGAGATAATTGCTTGTAGATATTTCAGAAATGAAACTAGTCTTTATTTTCCCACTTGATTTTTGAAATCCTAAAAGCTTTTCCTTCTTTTTAGCAAAGTCTTTCTGATGTCAGTCGAAGTTCAGGTGGACTTCCATCCAAAAGATCATCTCTGGATAGCAATTGTCTGGATAGTTCCAGAGACACTGATAATGGAACACCTTTTAATTCCCCAGTGTCTACAAACAAATTTTCTAAGCCTGATAGCCCTTCTGCTGGAGAAACGGAAAGGTGTGTATTTCAAATTTGTCCTTTCAATCGTCTGCTCAGTTTATTTGAGGATAATGTAAATTTTTCTATACCTTTACAAAATGTCTTTTTCAGTCATTAAAAGATTTTAAGCTACTAGTCAATTTTTCTTTAGAAATACATAACAATTTGTGGGTCATCCCATAGGAGATAATATAGGCTTATGAGCATGCAAGACTAGATAAGTACACAGAAATGTACAGGTTTTCTGCTTAAATTTTTCCCATTAATTGTCACTGGTTCGTTTGCCTTTCCCCCACCCTTTTTCTTCAGTATAATATTGAAGTAGGACTACTTGAAAGAAGGTTATCCTAAAGATACAACAGTGTTTTAAATAAGTACCATTGAAATAATTTAATGATGATAATTTAATACTTTTATTAGGAGTATTGCTGAGCCTGCTGCTGTAATTGTGGAGAAGCCACAGAGTATCCCGCCAGCTCAAGGACTATCCATTCCAGTCATTGGTGCAAGTAGGTATCTAGACTTTTATTATTAATGATTCTGCATAAATATTGTTATTAAAATCTTCTTTTTCCTTTTCAGAAGTTGACTCTACAGTAAAAGCTGTATCAACCCCAGCTGTGTGCACCATTCCTACTGTAGTGGGACGAAATGTCATTCCTAGAATTACAACACCCCACAACCCTGCCCAGGGACAACCACATCTGAATGGAATGTCAAATATAACTAAGAATATTACACCCAAGAGATCCCATTCCCCATCCATAGATGGGTCCTCTAAGAGGTTGAAAGACATAGAAAAGGTAAAGTTACAACTTTATTAATGATTTGGCAGTTGATTCTTTTTAAGTTAGCTTACTACTAAAGAAACTCAATTCTCCATAGTTATGTTAGTGTTCCCTAGAGTTGACTATTTGAAAAGATTTACCCAAACCCTAAAGGAATAATAGTAATTGGTCATCCTAAATTCAGATTATTAATGCGTCAGAAAATCTGAATGATTAGTCTTGAGTTTCTCTTTGATTTACACAGAAGTCATTGACAACTAAATTATCTTATTTCTTGTGTTATAATGTTTATTTCTTCTGCTTCCAGTAGGTGGTGGTAATACTATGTTTGTTAGAATCTGAATTGATTTAACTGAAAAGATTGCTCAAACTGTACAAATTAAGGGTGGCAATGAATTCAAATCTAATTTAAATTCTCTCTTCCCTCACCAATCCATGTTTGTAATAGTTTTTGATGCTAGCCTAATCACTAATTAGTCTTCTAGTTTATATAGATTTGTATGGTTTTTGCAAGTATGTAATAGCAACTCATTTTAATGTTTCAATTTTAGTTTATTCGACTTGAATCAACATTTAAAGACTCCCGTGCTGCTGAAGAGAGAAAAAGAAAATCAGTGGTAAATATATTAATAGTGTGATTCAGAATATTTAAAGAGCCATGTATCAGGAAGTACTTATTAGAAAATAGATCAGATTAGGTCTACTCTCAGATTTTGGTTTTGTTTTATTACAAGTAGGAATAAGTATTTGCCTGTAGGACAGAAAGTATATATAATAACATATATAATCTTTTGTTTTTAGGATGCCATTGGAGGAGAATCTATGCCTATTCCAACTATTGACACATCACGCAAAAAGGTAACAATCTTATTCATAGGTTAAAATCATAGGTAATCTACAAGTACAAAAAGCTTATTAAGAGCCCAGCACTAGAAAGGGGTAAGATTTTGTCACCATCCTCAAGGATAAGCAGTATTGGGATAGGGGTTATAGATAGCAAATAATGTATATGGTCCTGAATATATGTACCTCAAAAGTCTAGAAAAGGGAGTAGTTTAAGAAGACTTCATCGGCGGGGCACACTGGCTTACACCTGTAATCCTAGTATTCTGGGAGGCGGAGGCAGGTGGATTGCCTGAGCTCACGGGTTTGAGACCAGCCTGAGCAAGAGCAAGACCCTGTTTCTAAAAGTAGCCAGGCATTGTGATGGGTGCCAGCTACTTGGGAGGCTGAGGCAAGAGAATCACTTGAGCCTTAGAGTTTGAGGTTGCTGTGAGTTATGACACCATATGCTGTGAGGGAGACAAAGTGAGACTCTTGTCTCAAAAAAAGAAAAAGATGACTTCGTGATTTATTTATGTTCACTTTTTGTTTTTTATTTTTTGTTTTTGAGACAGAGTCTAACTCTGTTGCCCAAGCCAAAGCACCATAGTGTCTGCCTAACTCACAGTAACCTCAAACTCCTGGGCTCAAGTGATCCTCTTGCCTCAGCCTTCCAAGTAGCTGAGACTACAGGCTCACAACAACACCTAGCTAGTTTTTTTCTATTTTCTTTTTTTTTTTTTTTAAGTAGAGATGGGGTCTCGCTCTTGCTCAGGCTGGTCTTGAATTCCTGAGCTCAAGCAATTCACCCACCTTGGCCTCCCAGAGTGCTAGGATTATATGTGTGAGCCAATGGCATCTAAGTTTTCATTGTCCTGTTCTATACTTTTATGTAGTTTGAAAGTTTTCATAATTTTTTTTTACTTATTTTTTTTGAAACAGAGTCTCACTATGTCGCCCTGGGTAGAGTGCAGTGGCATCACAGCTCACAGCAACCTCCACATCTTGGGCTTAAGTGATTCTTTTGCCTCAGCCTCCCAAGTAGCTGGGACTATAGGTGCCTCCCACAACGCCTGGCTATTTTTTGGTTGGAATTGTCATTGTTGTTTTAGCAGGTCCGGGCCGGGCTCAAACCCACCAGCCTCGGTGTATGTGGCTGGCGCCCTACTCACTGAGGTACGGGGACTGAGCCAAGTTTTCATCATTTTTTGAATGGATGGAGATATAATATAGATATTTTTTTAGTTATCTAAAAACACAGGGTAACACAGGAAGATTAAGCAGTCATCTCTTGACAAGAAACTAATACACTATTTCCTTTGGTATAGCAATTGGTTTAACAAAGTCATCTTTTCAATACATATTCACACTCCTGCCAATTCTACTCTTTCTCTTAATCCGTCCATCTGTTTTACTCCTCTGACTGTAAAGGAAAAAGTTTCAAAAGCAAGAAATCTTGACTACTAGAAGGAAATATTCAACACATAATTGTTGAGGAGCTCAAGGGATTTGGAGAGAAACTTGGAGTTTTGTGACTGCTTTATTAGTTGTGCTTTTTATAATATATATGTGCTTTTCCTTTTTTGTTTTTATGTTCTTCTCATAGAGACTACCCAGTAAAGAATTACCAGACTCATCATCACCAGTTCCAGCAAATAATATCCGTGTCATCAAAAACTCCATTCGACTGACCCTAAATCGGTAAAAGCAGTGCCTCCTCACTTAAGTGAGCAAGCAATCATTTGGTGGCATAGATATAGCCACTGTTTTTCAAATAGAAGTGGCTGTCACTCATAAAATAAGGTGAAAGTTACAGTCATCAGCCTAACGACCTTGAAGTGGTTTTGAACTCTCACACTTTGACCTGCAGATGCTGTAGCATTCTCTCACTGATTGCTACATACACTTCTTTGAGGATCACCTACTATCAAATTGTCATCTACAGTATTATGGCTTTGCATTTGGAGGTTTTACTGCCTTAAATTTCAATGCTTGTTTCTCTGTTATGGGAACCAGTTCCTGGCCACTTGGACACTGATAAAACAAGTCCTGAACTCCTTTTTTCTTCTTTTCTTTTTCTTTTCTTTTCTTTTCTTTTCTTTTAAGTCTTATGTTGTAATCATTGTATAGCGCTAAAAAAGTTGAAAACAAAAAAAAATTGTCTTGTAATTTTCTAAATGTTAACACGTTTACTTTCTCATTGAAGCCACTTTGTGAAACCTGAGATGAATGAATGTGAGGTATCTTTTCTGCTTTCCTCATTTATGTAGATGTACTGTCTGTTCTGTTGATTTAAATTATTTTTTCCAGATTGGCACATGGAATATTTAAACTTTTGGGTTTTTTGTGCCTTTCTGTCCAAATGTTGCTTAGTTACCAGGGAGGATTAGTCCAGTGATTACATGAGTTGGGCACCATAAATTCTCTATATTTTGCCTCCCATGGAGGCCTTTGAAATGCATCTTTATTAAAAATCAAAATATAACCAGGATACTGAAAGTCAGTATATGAATGGTGAAATTGTTACATATCCTATCTGATGCCATTCTTGTTAGTTGACTGGTATTTTTTACTGAGGAGCAACTCATTCCAGCATCAACAATAAGATACCGTTTAAGTATGGCAAACTTGTATTTTTGAGGTGTAAAATTAACTAGGCATGATAATTCCTGACCACCATTATTTACCCCACAACTTCAAACAGTTTCTTCACAGACTAGGCATGCAGAAATAAGCAGTGGATTTTATTGAAACCTAAAGGCATTTTTGAATGACATTGTTACCAACCATTAATTGGCTCAGGACCTTTGTAATTTTTATTTAACTATATGAGTTATCTTTTTTTACACTGCTTTTTTCAATGCATTTCTTAATATTTTTTAAGTTTCACGAACGCATGCTCAGTTTATTAAAATCCATAACCATGTAATTCTTGTAATATGTTGATTCAGTGTTTTGTAAATGAAGTCGTATGTATTTTCAGAGTATTTTTGTATGTACTGTAAGATATCATCTTTTCAAAGAGAAACCTTTAAAACCTTGACTGTCTCTCTTTAGTCTAATTTTTTAAATATGGATTATGCTTGAATTATTATATTTAAAATGCAAATGTATAGATTGCACAGCCAGGAATGCCAATATGTTACCTTCTTCAGCTTTCACTCAGCATTTTAGTAGGTCCAGTAGGAAAAACACAAAATGGTACATCGAAAGGTGGGGCTGGGGGTGGGGAATACCTGGTTGTGTATTTTATAGGATGCCATTTAGCAGGTGGAGAAATAGTAGTCTATTTTCTCTTGCAAGCCCTTTATCATTGAGTTGAAATTCTTGAATTTGATTGTCAGAGAGCAGTATCCTCCCTTTACTACTATTATTCTCTAAGTCCCTGAAATGCAAAATCTACTGTTTAACTTTTACAAAGGAAAACATGGGGGAAAGTCTTAGAAGTATAGAAAAACAAGGGGAAAAATTATTGTTCCATTTATTCATTTTTTATATAGCAAAAGACAAGAATGAAATCCATAACCAAGTTGTAGCTTCCTTGGCAAAGCTGTTCTCTTAACCGACCCTTTTCCTGTATTCAAGATATACCTTATATCTTGGGATTTGTTCTACAAATATTGTATTTGAGCAAAAATGAATGATTATGAAAAGACCAAATAATTTGTCACCTGACTTCAGCCTTTGAAAAATGCGTTAACAAGGGATTTGATTAAATTTTATATACATGATGTGTGTGATTTTCTCTATTTAAATATCCCTGCTTTTAAATTGGCCTTCCAAGTCTCTTTAAGAATTCCCTATATATATATCCGTATTCACCCTGTTATATAAATAGATTCTTTGGAGCAACTAGTGGAGTTTTTCTTTAACAAGAAAGCAATAAGCCTAACTCTTGCACTGTAGTGTAGTCCTTTCTCTTAGATTAAGGGTCCATTCAATACCCAGGACATGGTCAATGGATCAACATTAAAACCCTCAAAAATAACATTCTTCAACCTATTTGGTAACTGAGGAATTGATTAGGTGCTTTTGAGATGGTGAGTTTGTCAGAAATAAAGTGTTTCTAACCTGATGAGTGGGTAGGACTTTTCTGTACATTTTATTACCATAGTTAAGAGGCCTCCATTGTACTGGTTATAAGAAAGTAAAGGGAGAAAGTATGGTCTGGTATTGTATGTGACGATCAGAGACACTTAAGTACATGTATTTGTTTTCAGTTATGGAACTGTGCCTATAAATATATTTTGTAAAGTCAAATAACATGTTCTTCAGTATATAGACAAATGTTCATTTGCACAAGGTTATTTTCAATCTGCTCATTTTTCAGTGATTAGGTCTGGAGAATAGTATAAATGAAAGGAAAACAATATCTGCTAGTTTAAACCTTAGAGACTTAAATTAATTCAAGATGGTACATGGCTTAAAACTTTATAAAATTGGGGCAGGAGAATAAATTTTAAAAGAGCTTAAAATAAGAGTCATTTTGTCTTAGGCACCAATTTAGTAGCATTATTAAAGTGCTTGCTTTACTGTAGTAGCAATTAATTCAAGATGGGCAGTGTAAAAATGGGTTAAACTACATTCCACAGCTTTGAAATAGGAATTCCTAACTTAGGGATCATGAACCCCTATGGAATCCTTTGTAATTGTGTATAAGAAGTTTTTGTTTATATGCATTTTTCTGGGGCAATTCATAGCTTTCATCAGCTTCTCAAAGTGATTCATGACCTAAAAAACAGTGGGGTGGGGGTTAGAAACAACCAGGATTGGATAATTCTAGAATATTTAGAATTTTCTTCATTTGATTTTGCTGGGGTATATTTCTGAAAGTGTACTGTGGCTCTTAACTAGTAAAATGGGCTGATGAAGGACTCTGGAACATCAAATTCCTGTTTGTTTATATACTTCATATGAAACGTCACAAAGTCCTCAGCATTTGGAAAAATGATTGAGAGTTACAGATGTTCTCAAAATAACTTGGATTCATTACAGGGTCAAACTTTATTGCAACAAATTTCACCTCATTGATCAGAGTACAATAGCTTAAAATGATCCTAATCCTTTGAATTCCATAGAATTAAATTCTCTCTTGCTCCTCCATGTTTATGGTTCAAGCCAAAACAGACCAAATCAATAAAAACTACTTTTTGTACAAATAAAATTTGGGGTGTGTTTAAACAACTACCTACTAAATTGTCCAAAGCTTAGACTTTGACTTGGTCATAGTGCTGATGATGGAAGAAAAGCACTAGTCTCAATAATGGTAACTATTTCCTTAAGACTTTTAAAAAGTATTGTACAGGATCATATCCTTCCAAATTCCCTATTTTTTCTGAGATAATTTTTCTGATATAATTTTATATTTGAAATCAGTTGATATTAAATGAAATGATCATCAAACTTGCTATAATTTTTAAGCTATTGCTGCATTTGAGCAAAGACCCAAGCAATTACTTTATAAAGTACTTAGGCTATCTTTGAGATAAATGGTGCTACATCACTCCACAGTATTATGTAAAATGGACGCAGCTGCTGTTCCTTTCTAGATAGCTGTTTGTGTAATTCATAATAATTTTTCCTGCCTTTTATTTGGATTGTCTTAGATGTACACATGAGCCTCATTATTTGTCTGGAATAAATCATCTAATAAACTTGCTTTGATAAATAGATGATGATTGAGTGATATTATTTGGAATAACTCAGAAGTACTTAGTTATTTTTCAGATTGACAACCAATTTGGTCATTTACCACTCAGACACCTTTTGGTAGATAATGGTATCCACTACCCACTTAATACGAAAGTAAAATTCAGACTCAGTTTGCCTCACACAGAATCATTTGTTAATCATTTATTGTAAGCAGTAGCACGATAAATACAACCTACTCTGAAAGCTTAACAAAAAGTATCCAGCACTATGTCTTTAGATGATCTGACCACACTTTTTCTGAAAGGGCCACTTGGAGAATCTCTTGTCAAGTACTACGGGCAAAAGTCTGTTATCCTTGTGGTGAGGATCAGGCTACCAGAGTCCCCTACTAGTGGCTAGATGCAGGTACATTTAGCAATCAAGCCTTGGGTATTATCCATACGAGTACCTTGTCACATTCTTATACCTTTCCTTATAGGAATGGACAATGACTTTTAACCAATACACATACTAGTACTGTGTTCACAAGTGTGTCTACAACATTAAGATTATTGTCAAGGCTCGGCACCTGTGGCTCAAGTGGTTAAGGCACCAGCCACATACACCTAAGGTGGTGGGTTC